CCCCACTGATGTAATCGTTTTTGGTTACGTACCTTTTTTTTGTGATGTATAAATTTTTTTGGCTAAGTACCTCGTTATTTGACCCGGTGGAGACGTGCTTTGGTGATGAGCTACTTAGTGGCGAACTCCCTGGTGGAGAATTGCCTAGTGGCGAGCTCCCTGGTGGAGAGTTACTTGGTGACGAACTGCTTGGTGGCGAACTCCATGGTGGAGAACTGCCTGGTGGCGAGCTCCCTGGTGGCGAACTGCTTAGTGGTGAACTCCCTGGTGGTGAACTGCCTGGTGGCGAGCTCCCTGGTAGAGAGCTACTTGGTGGTGAACTGCCTGGTGGCGAACTGCTTGGTGGCGAGCTCCCTGGTGGCGAACTGCCTGGTGGACTCGTCATTTGACCTGCTCCTAGGCGGCCTACAACTCAGAGGATGGTGGAGCTCCCTGGTGCAGCGCAATCCGACTACCCTCTGCATGAAGTGATTTCCTCTCCTTTGTAGGCGGCGGGAGCTGAGGGACATGCGAGAACTAAATCAGAGGACCTGGGGGTATTTTCCCGGCGGGGACTCTACGATGCCTAAGTTAGCATTCTGATTACAGAGAGCTTGGAGAGAAATGAGAGAGCTAGAGAGTAGGGGTTACCATCCTTTTTTCCCTCCTCTTGGCTTTGGGGGTCGGAGTCCTTATATAGTGGTGTCCTCGCGGGTTAGGTTGGTGAAAAGCCTTCAAACAGTAAGACTCGTCATATCCCGTCAGAACCGGGATACGGTGGTGAACTCCTCAAGGTTGTCAGGCTGGCGCTTGTGTCAGGCGGCCAGGTTGGCGCCTGGGCCAAGTTGTCAGGTCGGCAGGTCGGCGCTTGTGTCAGTCGGTGGGTCGGTGTCTGGGCCAGGTTGTCAGGCAGGAGATCTTCCTACGATACGCCAAACTACTCTTCTGTACCGAGCTACCCTACAAATGGCGAGCTGCCCGGGGGAGCTATGCTGAGCTGCTTGTGGCGAGCTTTGCCGAGCTGCCTGGCTCCTTGGTGGCGAGCTCCTTGGAGAGCTGCCTAGCTCCTTGTCGAGCTCTTTGGTGAGCTACCAAGCTCCTTGGCGAGTTCCTTGCTGAGCTACCGAGCTTGCGGGGTATGCCATTATGGTTCATCGGTGGGCGTCTTATGGGTTGTCAGGTCAGCCAGGTCGGATCATGTGCCAGGCTGATCCAGGTCGGCCAGGTCGCGCAGGCCGCGCCAAGCCGGCCAAATCGGCCAGGTCGATGCCCTAGTGGGACACCGACTTGGTAAGTTGTTGCCTGGGTATCGCCTAATTGTCACAAGGTGCCACGTGTCACAATTTCATTAAAGGGTCAAATCTGCTCTCATCACCCACCATTCAAAAATGAAAATAAAAGAATGAAATTGAGGAGAAAAGAGTAGAGTTGGAGAAAAGGACAAATATTGAATTAGCCTTTGGAAGATGGGGGCAAATCTCTCTCTCTCTCTTGTCATGAGCTAGAGGACATTTTTCCCTGATTCTTAGGAGGAATATTTGGAAGAGACTTTGAAGTTTGGACCTTTCTTTTGTATAGATTTTCATTACTACAATGGCATTACAAGGGCATTTCCAAATGAAGCTAGGGATCAACAGGAATGGACCAAGGGAATTCTCCAATATTAACTAGGGACAATAGCTCTCTATCCAGTATCCACTGCCCTTCCGAAAGCCAGTACCATGGATTTGGCAAATGTCGATTTTACATTCAGAGAAGAATCCCTTGGGAATTAGGATATCCAAACAAGAATATCATATCCTAGCTAGCTGTTTTTGGCAAGAGATCATCAATCATGGCTGAATTTCATCTTCATCTTCTGACTTGATTTGCCACCTCCTTAACCCATTTAGGCTCATGAGGGGGATGTGGGCTTGGGTCCATAACCTGGAACCCATCATGGATTCTTGCATCCATCCAAATGTCCACTTTGTCCCAACTGTCCACCCCAAGATTCATGTAGCCCACAGGTACCAATAATTTAGCTATGGTTATAGCACTAAATATAGAAGAATGGCGAAACATGATTCATGTAGCCCAGCGCATATAGTGGGGGATAAGGCTTATTACATGATGATGACTTTGGGTCATAGGTATTTTTATTGAATATAAACTGTCAAAGCTAACTAGGCCAAGTAGGGCACTATTGAAAGCATGTGTCTTTAAAACCCAAACCCCACCAAAACTGGTGTTGTAATTTTTTGCCAGCTCTTCATTTTGTTTGAGGTTCTGTCCAGAAAAAAGACTCAACATCGAGATCAGCTTCAGTCAGGGAAAGCCCGTATTCATACCGTCTCAACAGTCTCTTGCAATTTTATATCAAGAATATTTTCCCATAAAATAAAGTACATAAATATGGAAATATTCTTAATGTAAGACTGTAAAGACTGCTCGAATGAATGTTACCCTGACGGAAGCCGAACTCCTCAATATCCCCCATTTTCTAAGGTAGGCCCAAATAGACTGATGGAGAACTCACATGGTACAATTATTGATCTTTTTTAAAGCAATGGTGCACATTGGAAACAAAGCTTTTGACTGTTTTCGATCATGAGGTTGGAACCAAAGCTTTTAGGGTTATACTAGTATGTCGGAGCACTGTTCATCTCTCTCTCATTTCATAGGAGCTGCAATTACAAAATGAGACTTGGAGCTACAATTACAAAATGAGACTTGGAGTCATAGTTCATTCTCATATCATATAAGATGAAATTACTCCCACATGCTAGCATTTTCCTTTCATTTTTGAAAACAAATACAAATATGACATCATGCTACATCAGTAAAGATAATAGGCGTTAGGCGAAACCCCCCCGTAAGGAGAAAAAAATATGGCTATCTACATTCAACAGCTTGGGCTGTCAATATGATCCTTCCCTCCCACATGATATGTTGTATATTAGTTCACACAACTCTTTTTAACAGTATCGGACCTACCGGTGTTGGATGCAGGGAGGAGCCCTATTGACACTCCATGCTGTCCAATGTGGACAGCCAAAATATTTTCCATAATGGGTTGAGCCTCATATGATAATCTTCCCAAAATTGTGAAAGTATTCTTGCATTGGGTTTTATTAGGGTTTAAAACACCTCAAAGTTGTAAGAAAAAAAAACTGTATTTTCACCATCATTATTAGAAAGGGTTTCGACTATGACATCATAAAGATATGATATATGAAAAATCTCTAATCAATCAATTAATATCATAAATATGATAATTAATCATATATTATTTATCAAAATTTATGAATGAGTTTTAAGCTTTTGATTAATCAAAACCCATCTAATACCATGTCTTTCCCGCATCATAGATTTTTCTCATTGGAAAACTGTCTGATTTATGGTGAATGTTATAACCACCTCATCAAAACTTACAAAACTTTTTTCAGAAGGAAAGAGGCATGGCACATAATTAGCTACTACATTCCTCCGCATGTCAGGTCTGTCGGGTCGGACCCAACCCATTGAGCCCTACTTTCCATGTTATGGCCATTGAGCCTTAGTGCACCCTACTCTGTAATGTGCAATGTGTAGTACATAGTTTCATCCAAGCATTTTTCAAACTCAAATATAATAAATTTCAGTTTTACTTTCATTATACAAAATTAATTAACATTTTCACAGTCATAAAAATTTCAAAAAAAAAAAAAAAGAAAGGGAAAAAAACTGACATGGGCAGTGAAAGGATAGGTGGGGGTGAAGGCTGCCCCTTTTATAAACGTTTTTCCCTTCTTGAATCATCATCATCATTGTTTGAGTCCCTACCAAAATAATTTATCATCATTAGGGATGAACGAATGGGTTAATTCTACCCAAAATCGAATGGAACTATGTTGGTTCAAGGGCCTAGGTATAGGTGGTCTTGCCACTTGCCATCCGATAGGTATTCTGTACTTTTAGGCCGAATGTCAATTTAGTACCTAAACTTTAAAATGCATAATCTAGTATCCAAATTTTTATTTTGTGACAATCTAGTATCTGGTGTATTAAGTGTTATGGGAAAAGACACAAATGCCCCTTAATTTTCATCTAATTTTCTTTATCAAATGAATCCAAAACTTGGTGCTTCCAAAATGAGCGATCAATGTACTATATCAAAATCGATGGCCGGCTATAAGACTGCCTTTGCAAAGCTTGGCAGTTTTTCCTGCGGCCAGGAATGGATCAGGTGATCAACTGCTTGCTGGGCTTAAAGAACCCCATCGATGTTAACTACTTGAAAGAACAAGTCAAGAGCTCCATCATGATTCATGATACAACACCCAAGATTTTGCAGTTTGTTGGTGAGGGACAACCAGGGGAGGGAGCACTGGAGAAGAACCAAGGTGGAGATTGATAGGCACGTACTTGTTCCGTAACTCGGTGGCGAATTCGACGCTGGGGGTATTCCTGACTGAAGACGATGAGGAGATGGTGAACAGTTCCAGTCAATACGTCAAGGCTCCCCATCTTGATCATGGCGTTTCCAAAATCGGAAAAGAAAGCTGCAGACTTGGTGTTGTAAGCTCTAACTTGAGCGTCAGTCGAGCCACCACTGAAGAGCTCTTGGTCTGAGTGCAGCAGACCCTTGTTGTTCAACAAGTTGGTGAAATAAGCATTATCGAACGTTGTATCAGTTGTGTTGTCAAGATTTATGGAAGAAGTCAGCACCTTCCTTATCACAGGTGGATTTTAGGAATCCATAAAATGTGGAGTCTATATTGGCGTCGTTGTCAATACGACTTCTTAAGGTGGAGCACTTGGCCAGACCAACTGAATGAGCTCCTTCAAAAACAAAAAGAAGACAACAGTTAATCAGATCATCAAACATGTAGTTAGAAACAACGCCATTAATTCTGGTTCTGGAGCTCTAGCTACCTGATAGAGACACGAATTCAGTTTCAGTAAACCCCTTGTCTGTAAAGTTTTTTATGAGGGTACTGAGATCCGAGTCAAAAAACGGGAGGCCACCATTGTCAGCCAGAGCAAAATTTGCACTTGTGGAATCTCTTCTCCCTAACTGCACTGTCCATGAAGTGCCACCCAACTGGGATAATTACGTTGCAAAGAAAACAAAGTGTCAGAATCTATACTAAAGAAAACCGCCAAACATTGCTATAAATTAAAAGATATTCGAAGAATTTCTATGGTGAAATGAAGTTTTAATTGCAGCTTTTGCTTACAGCAACGACGGCGTCGCGAGCAGCTACTGCTAGAATGTCTGCACAAGAAACAACTCCCGGGCACTCAGTAGTTTCCAGTTTAGTTTTAATGGCGTCGATCACTTCAAATCCTCTCACAGAGTTATTGTTGGGAACAACGGTCTTCTCCCTTGGAAGCCAATAGTGGAATTGTCATCCAAAAGAAGAGATGCATCACAGCCCTGTTCAATACATAGAGTATTGTTTGTCAATTGTCATCATCAATGTTATATAATATATATTCTTCAAAGATGACAAGATCATTATTAAACACATGAAAAAAAAAACAGGTCTAAATATATAAATTGAAATGAAAGCTACATGCAAACTCTAGCTATGGCCAACTTCGTCTCATCTGTCAGCAAGCAATACAGAATTAGGCAAGCTAGCTTGGTGAATAGGAGTGATTACTTGCCGTAACAAAGCAGTCATGAAAAATGGAGACGGAGCAATGAGGCCCCCATCCGACGACGATAGCTGCCAGAGGCCATGCCCAGTGTAAGGACGAGCACATCCTTCGTGTCTGGAAAAATGGTGTAATTAAAGAGCTTGGCTTGCGCTCTGTTTCATTTTTTTGAGAAAGAAAGATGAACATTAACGGTAATTTTGGCTTGGTTTCATTTTTAAGGGTAATTTTGGCATTTTCAAAAGTCTTAAATCACACATGAGGTCACGTGATATACATAACTGACGGCCCATTGATGATAGGTACTAGATTGTCGCATTCTGAAAGTTTGGGTAATAGATTGTCGCATTTTAAAGTTCAAGTACTAAATTGGCAGTCGACCTAAAGTATAGGGTACCTATCAGGAATTTTCCCTTCATTTTATTATTGCATATATAAACAATTGTATACTTTCGAAATTCATATAAAATAAAATTTAAATATCTTTTCTAATTTTTATTTTTTTAATTTATGTTAAAAATTTCATTATTTTTTCAAAATTTTTAAAAAATATGGCTTGGCTCGATCCCCGATACAACACGGGCTTGGGCTATGGGCTGTGTCGGGCCAAGCCCCCAAAGTATCCCAAGGGAGGGAAGGACGGCCCGGTTCAGCCCGTGAGCCAGCACGACACAACCCGCACACGAGCCATACCGTGTCGGCCCAATACAACTCGATTTACACCTCTAGGCCTAGGGTATGTTGGAGAATTGGCCTTTGTTGACCTTGGTGGAACTAGACTTGCCTTAAAATAAAGGGAAAAGTATGGACAGGCCCATTGCAGAAACCTAAATCCTAGGCCAGCCCATACCTATAATAACAATCAAATTCAACTTTTGAAATTATAAGACAGATTCCCACGCCAACTCAGCATCATGTTTTTCCCTATCCTTTTCCTGTGATGTGGCAATCTAGCTTGGGTTCCATGTCATAATAACATTTATTTAATTTCAAAAGTTGAATTTGAATTTGATTGTTATTATAAACAGTAAAGTTTATAAAATTAAATTATAATAATAAGTTTTGAACTATTATAATTATTATTATTATTGAAAACGAAGTTTAAACAATTTATGGTTGTGATTTTTAATCAATCATGTATATTGATAGTGACATTATCAATGATATAATATACAATAACATTATTATAAATGTGAGGGGTGTCAATTGGACTGGATTTGGTCCAATCCGATCCAGTCCAATGTGAGTCCATTATAAATGGACCAGGTCCAATCCAATCCAGTGAATGTTTTGAATCAATTTGGACCGGTTCAATTCAATGTCTGGACCGTTCGATCTGTTCAAATTCATTTTGATTTAGATTGGTTTCAACTCAAACCTGATCCATTAACACATATATTCTTATCTTATATCAATGGATTAGATATTGGCTTAATCCAACCCAATCCAATATAAATTTGTTATGGACAGACCAGGTCCAATTCAATCTAATAAATATTTTGGACTGGATTGATCCAATCCAATATGTCTTGCTGGTCCATCCAACCCGTCCAAATTGATTTTGGACTGGACGGGGTCCAATCCAAACAAGAAAAAAGTAAAATGGGCTTATAACAATTTTAAATGCCATCTTCTCAAATTACTTCATTAGTGAATTGCAAGTTGGAAGAGATTCAGATTACAGAAAATGAAAAAAAAAAGGCTGCTTGATGGAGCCTCTGGCTTCTTAAATGGATCTACATCTATCACTTGAAATCACCAACATCCCAGAACTAATAAGGTTTAACTTCAGTATGTGTAGGGGTAGCCTATTCCAAAAGGAAAGATAGGAGACTTGAGACCTGTTATTTGGTTTCTACCTTTTCTATTAGTATTTTCTTCTAATATTTCCCCTCTTATTTTTAAAAATTTTGGAAGCTATTGGCCATTTCTGCCGTTTCCATCCCCTGTTTCCACTTTTGTTTTCAATATTACGTTTCATTAATGCTAAAATTTCCCAAATCCAATTCCCGTTCTGCTGAAAGTAATAATCCTACAGCTCATACTCTAGTAACAAGTGGGAAAACGGAACTACTATAAGTTTTAGACTTCAGAAGTCCTGTTCATACTAATGCCATTAGCTGCTTTGGGTGAAGGAAAACCAATAACAGATGGATTAAGTTCAAAATTTCAATGGTTCTGCTGATACTAATGTATGCTAGTTCAGACTTCAGATCAAAAGAAACCAGTATTCAATCAAGGATGGTTCCATTGGAGAGATTTCAAGGTGCAAATTTGTTTCTCTTTTGATATTGAAATTCATTATTATCTATTCTCTCCTTCTGAATTGCTAATGTACTGTATTCCATAATCAGGCAACAATAAAGGAGGGATGAGATCGAGAATTAGACGAGAACTCTCTGATGCTTAGGTCAATAAATGAGCAAAAGATCGTCGACCAAGCAGAAGAGGCTAACCGGCGAGGAAAGCAAAAGAAATGAGGTGGAGGGTGGAGGAGGGCTATATTATGCATACCTTTTCTTGGGAATGTTTCACTTAATGATTGATAAAGGAGGCGTTATGCTCGCCAAGGAATTCTCTACTTCTACTAGGAGATGGCTGTCAGGTTTGGTCCAACTGTTTTGTGGTTGTCATTAGCAAGGTCTAAGTGTGTTGAAGGTGTCCAGGTAAAATTGGTTGGACGGGTCAGTTGTCTAGGTTGGTCAAGGTCATTGGCAAGTTCCATGAGCGTTCCATACAGGAACACATGGCACCACGTGGATGAGCCTCATCAACAAGGATACCATGTAGTCAATTTTCCTTGTTTTCCTTATTTCTTAAGAAAAGGAGGTGACATTTGATATAACTAATCTTTAATATTTGAAAAGTTATTTTTATAAAATAGAAAATATGCTTTTTCTGTTTTTTAGAGCTTTTGTAATTTTAAAAGAAAGGAAGACATTTTAGTTAAAGTGCATACTAACGTATTCCATATAGAGGTCACCTCTTACGAAATCAAACTATATATGTACATACAGATTCGAAATTCATTTTCTAGCATCCAATCTGATTATTGGGAACCCACATCCAAATCCGATTTGAAATCTATCGGATTTAAAGACTCAAATTTGAATTCGGATTCTAATATACTCAGATCGGATTTGGATTTAATCCGATTCCATTTTAAAATTTCTAAAATACTAAGAAAATTAAAAATGCATTTTTTTTAATTTATATATAATAAATTAATATAAATATAACATACTAAATTTATTATATATATATTCATATATAATATAATATATAGAATACATTTTTATAATTTTAAATATATTATTATATAAAATTTATATATTAAAATTAATAAATATTACAATATAATCAGATTCAGATTCTAAGTGGATCAAATCCGAATCTGATCTGATTATTAATCAGATGTAGACTATAACACCCAAATCCAATCCAATTACGTAATTACATCATTTGAATCTAAGATAATTAAATTGGATGTTAGATCGGGCCTTGGATTTCAGGTATCATTGACAGACATATGTGGGATATGGTTAAGTTTAATGTCAACAGATAGGGGGTTGTATGTTGGACGCAATGGGCCTAGTGTCAAGAGAGAGATAGGGGGTTGTTTGTTGGATGCAATGGGCCTAGTGTCAAGGGAGAGATAGGGGGTTGAGTGGGGCATGGCAAGGCCCAATGTTAAGAGAGAGAGAGAGAGATAGAGAGGGTTGTATGGGACCCAATCTCATAAATGGGGTGGAAGAGAGGAGCCAGATTTCCTGCTAACTTTTCTTACCCACTCTCTACCCGCTATGAATTGCAGCCGCACATCTCTCAATTCATAATAGAGGTGTGTGGCTCCAATTCATCGTGGGTAGAGAGTAGGAAAAGTGAGTGGGAAGAGAGAGGGGGGTAGAGAGTGTGGGGAGAGAGGAACTGCCACTGCTATCTTGGCGATAACAGAAGTGGATGGAACCAAAGAAGAAGAAGAAGAAGAAGAAGAAGAAGAGTGGCAGAATAGGGAAGGAAAGAAGGGGAATGAGGGAGGGAGGGAGGGAGGGAGAGAGAGAGGGAAGAGTGTCAAGGAGTTGAAAAATATAATTGCCACCCTGAGTCCCGAACTAGACTCGACCCATCGAAGAAGATGAGAGCAAGAAAGAGTATTAGATTAAGCAGGGCGAAGAAGATGGGAGCAGGAACGAGGAAGAAGGCCCAAAGGAAGTTCAAGATTAGAAGCTATACCCTACAAATCGATGCCCTGGAAGAGATTCTCTTTTTCTTGAGCCATTTAGAAGATGCTGAAGACGAAGCCATCAACCTCCTCATCGATGAAATCAACAAATCTCACAAGTCACACTTACCCTCTTCCTCAAAACCTTTAATCTCTTCATTTTCTCTTCCTTTAAATGGTTTTCACTTGATTTCTTGAGTCTTGACCTTCGATATTTTATTGTTGTGAAAAATTTTAGTAGTTCAATCATCCATTCTAGACAAGGAGCCCATACAACGGGTTGTAAAAACCTTTTATTGCAAGTCGAACCCACATTAGAGAACCCCAGTTCTAGTAGTCTATCAGTACTTCGCATAATAGATGCTTTAGTTGTCTCCAAGTTTTTCTATGATCCCATCAAAAAGGTTTTCTATAAGTCCCTTAATTCAATGTAT